TCGGCACCGCCTCGGAATTCAATTTTCCGGCGCCGGCCGGCGCCGGAACCGGCCCAGGCTGCCGTGCTCCTGTGTGGTCAGCCGTGCTCCTGAGGCGTCTACGGTGCTCTTTTGGGGTCTGCCGTACTCATTTGGGGTCTGCCGTGCTCCTGTGGTCGGCCTAGCTCATTTGGGGTCTGCCGCGCGCCAGTGAGATCTGCCGTGCTCCTGTTGGGGAAACGCCAGCGGCGTTCGGGGTACAACAAAAAGGCGCGTGTATGTTGTACCCGCGCGCGGTCTGCCGTGCTCCTGTGGGTTCCGCCGTGCTCCTGTGGCGTCTGCCGTGCTCCTGTGGCGTCTGCCGGGCTCCTGTGTGGTCTGCCGTGCTCCTTTGTGGTCTGCCGTGCTCCTGTGGAGTGTGCCGTGCTCCTGTGTGGTCTGCCGTGCTCTTGTGGTCTGCCGTGCTCATTTGGGATTTGCCGTGCTCATGTGGGGTCTGCCGTACTCCTGTGTGGTCTGCCGTGCTCCGGTGGTCTGCCGTGCTCCTTTTGGGTCTGCCTTGCTACTGTGGGGTCTGCCGTGCTCCTGTGTGGTCTGCCGTGCTCCTGTGGTTTGCCTTGCTCCTGTGTGGTCTGCCGTGCTCCTTTTGGGTCTGCTCTGCCGTGCTCCTGTGGGGTCTGCCGTGTTCCTGTGGGGTCTGCCGTGCTCTTGTGGGGTCTGCCGTGCTCTTGTGTGGTCTGCCGTGCTCCTTTGTGGTATGCCGTGCTCCTGTGTGGTCTGCCGTGCTCCTGTGTGGCCTGCCGTGCTCTTGTGTGGTCTGCCGTGCTCCTGTTGGTCTGCCGTGCTCTTCTGTGGTCTGCTGTGCTCCTATGGGGTCTGCCGTTGTTCGGCCGTCTTGAGGGCACTCTTAGGGCATAGTCTGCCGTGCTCCTCGTCTTGGTCTGCCGTGCTCCTCGTCTTGGTCATCCTTTCCGTCGTCTTGAGGGCGCTCTTGGTGCCTGGTCTGCCGTGCTCCTCGTCTTGATCTGCCGTGCTCCTCTCGGTTCCTAAGCCTGGTCTGCCGTGCTCCTCGTCTTGGTCTGCCGTGCTCCTCTCGGTTCCTACGCGCGGTCTGCCGTGCTCCTGTGGGGAGCACGGCAGACCACAGGAGCACGGCATACCACACAGGAGCACGGCAGACCACACCTCGATTTTTTGAGGATGTCTCGAGCGAAATGGCCGTGGTCTGCCGTGCTCCACACAGGAGCACGGCAGACCACCTGCTCATTTTCTGAGGACGTCCCGAGCGAAAACGTCATTTTTAACATAAGAGGTTGTAAAACTCCTCTGTCGGCATCTCATTTTTTCGAGGATGTCTCGAGCGAAACGCTCATTTTTCATGCATAACAAAAATTTTTGATATTTTTCAACATCCCGATGTTTTGAGGATGTCTCGAGCGAAACCGTTATTTTTAACATAAGACGTCTTAAACGATAGCCTCCAACACCTCGATTTTTCGAGGATGTCTCGAGCGAAATGGCCATTTTGGGGAACCTGACCGGACAAGAACGGGAAACGCCGTTTTTTATCCACCACGTGCGTCAGAGACCGTATTGGCGAGGACGTCAGAGAAAACCCTAACCAAACAGAACAGACGAAATGGTGGCCTTCCGCGCTGGTCGTCGAGGTAGTCTGCTGCCCTGGCCACATCATGGTGTCGTCACCGTGCTTTTCTCTCGGCCACGCGGGCCCCCACCCGTTGTCGCCCAGCATACTTTTTCTGTTCCAGCCTGTCTTGTCTTTTGTTTGTCCGTCGTCGTCGTCGCGTGCCTTTCCTTTGTCGCGGTCGTCGTTTTTTTTCTTGATCAGCGTCCGCTGTTGCCGTTTCTCGCTGTCCGCCGTCGTTTATCATTTTTATGATTTCGTCGTTTTTCTGTTGTTTTTTTGTTGTTTGTTCCGTGTTCGTTTGGTTTTTTGTGTTATGTTTTTGTGGTCGTTTTTCTGTCATCGTTTTTTGTCGTAATTTTCGAGATCGTTATTGACGAAGACGACGATGACGACGATGACGACGACGACGATCTGCCGTGCTTCTGTGGCGTCTGCGGTGCTCCTGTGGTCTGCCGTGCTCCTTCTTGGTTTGCCGTGCTCCTGTGTGGTCTGCCGTGCTCCTGTGCGGTCTTCCGTGCTCCAGTGGTCTGCCGTGCTCCTTTGGGGTCTGCCGTGCTCCTGTGGAGTTTGCCGTGCGAACGTGTGGTCTGCCGTGCTCCTGTGTGGTCTGGCGTGCTCCTGTATGGTCTGCCGTGCTCTTGTGTGGTTTGCCATGCTCCTGTGTGGTCTGCCGTGCTCCCGTGGGGTCTGCCGTGTCCTGTGTGGTCTGCCGTGCTCCTGTGTGGGCTGCCGTGCTCCTGTGTGGTCTGCCGTGCTCCTTCTTGGTCTGCCGTGCTCATGTGCGGTCTGTCTGCCGTGCGAACGTGTGGACTGCCGTGCTCCTTTGGGGTCTGCCTTGCTCCTTTGTGGTTTGCCGCGCTCCTGTGTGGTCTGCCGTGCTCCTGTGTGGTCAGCAGACCCAGGGCTGAGGGAAGGCTGGAGCAGTGCTCTGGTGGTCCTTCACCCGCCCAGTTCCGTCCCCTCCCACTCTGGACCGATCTTGCGGGAAGCTGGCTTGTGGCAGCGCATCGCGCGTCGGCCGCCAGCCCAGGTGCCGGCCCGGGCGTTCGGTTCGAGCGCCGGCCTGGGTGCCGGAATCGGCCCGGAAGGGGTTCCAGGGCGCCGGGAGCAGAAATCAATATTTTCGAAAGAAAAATATGTCTTGGAGTGGCCTTTTTTCCGCACCGCCTCGGAATTCAATTTTCCGGCGCCGGCCGGCGCCGGAACGGCCCGGGCGCTGGCCCGGGTGCTGGCCCAGGCGTTCGGCTCGAGCGCCGGCCCGGGTGCCGGAATCGGCCCGGAAGGGGTTCCAGGGCGCCGGGAGCAGAAAATCAATATTTTCGAAAGAAAAATTTGTCTTGGAGTGGCCTTTTTTCGGCACCGCCTCGGAATTCAATTTTCCGGCGCCGGCCGGCGCCGGAACCGGCCCGGGCGCTGGCCCGGGTGCTGGCACGGGCGTTTGGCTCGAGCGCCGGCCCGGGTGCCAGAAGCGGCCCGGAAGGGGTTCCCGGGCGCCGGGAGCAGAAAATCAATATTTTCGAAAGAAAAATATGTCTTGGAGTGGCCTTTTTTCGGCACGTGCCTCGGAATTCAATTTTCCGGCGCCGGCCGGCGCCGGAACCGGCCCAGGCTGCCGTGCTCCTGTGTGGTCAGCCGTGCTGGTGCTCTTTTGGGGTCTGCCGTACTCATTTGGGGTCTGCCGTGCTCCTGTGGTCGGCCGTGCTCATTTGGGGTCTGCCGCGCGCCTGTGAGATCTGCCGTGCTCCTGTTGGGGAAACGCCAGCGGCGTTCGGGGTACAACAAAAAGGCGCGGTTAGGTTGTACCCGCGCGCGGTCTGCCGTGCTCCTGTGGGTTCCGCCGTGCTCCTGTGGCGTCTGCCGTGCTCCTGTGGCGTCTGCCGGGCTCCTGTGTGGTCTGCCGTGCTCCTGTGTGGTCTGCCGTGTTCCTGTGGAGTCTGCCGTGCTCCTGTGTGGTCTGCCGTGCTCTTGTGGTCTGCCGTGCTCATTTGGGATTTGCCGTGCTCATGTGGGGTCTGCCGTACTCCTGTGTGGTCTGCCGTGCTCCGGTGGTCTGCCGTGCTCCTTTTGGGGTCTGCCTTGCTACTGTGGGGTCTGCCGTGCTCCTGTGTGGTCTGCCGTGCTCCTGTGGTTTGCCTTGCTCCTGTGTGGTCTGCCGTGCTCCTTTAGGGTCTGCTCTGCCGTGCTCCTGTGGGGTCTGCCGTGCTCCTGTGGGGTCTGCCGTGCTCTTGTGGGGTCTGCCGTGCTCTTGTGTGGTCTGCCGTGCTCCTTTGTGTCGTGTCGTGTCGTGCGGGGCCTATGAAGGCTAAAAGAAGCCCGAGGCCCACGGAGCCCATTGGCCCCAGGGCCTCAAGGGCCAGCCCTGGGGGCCCGAAAGGGGCCCCCGCAGGGGGGCGCGGAGCGCCAGTCGCCTGCCAGGGCCAACGGGGGCGCCTAGGCCCCAGGGCCACGAGGGCGGGCAGTGCCGAGAGGCAACAGAAGCAGCGAAGCTGCACAGAAGAGCTCACGTACACATTCAAATACAAGAAATGCGAATGCACGGAGCAAACGGAATTAGCGTCCGCACGCAAGGCAAGCAGCAGAAACGGAAAGCAACTGCTGCCTCAATCATCGAGGGGGCCCCACTGCATTGCAAATACACCACGTGCACAAACAAATGCAGGAGACATAACCCACTGAACAACCACAGCCCCCCTCACCCAATGGGGAACAGACGTGCAAGGCGAACCATCACTCAGAAGGCATTCCGAACACGCAGGGAGATGCCGCCTCACCAGGAGCACTAACCACGCTGCTCCAACCACTCCTCCAATCCAAGCCTGGAGGCAGCGGCGCCCCGCCTGCAGTACCTCCAACGCTCGCTCCTTCATCCGAGGGCGCCTGCACCGTCGCGGCATCCGCAGGGAGCCAAGCGCGGGCAACGGCCGCCCTCGCACGCCACCAATCACGAGCCGCGACCTCGCCACGAGCCCTGGCGCCGCCGCCCCCACGGAAGAGGGCCTGCGGGAAGGCGTCGAGGTACGCGGCGGCGGCGGCAGCAACATGTTCAGCAGGTTCGGCGGCTGGCTGCTCCCCAACCGAGCAAGCGGTGGCCACGTCGGCCTCGCCGTCGAGGATCACGCTGTCGGAGTCGGAGCACTCGCCAACAGCGCGCGGCGGCGCCGCCATAGCGCCCGCGGCCTGCACGAAGTCCACCACGCAGACAACCTCCGACACCCCAGGGAAGAGAGGGGAAGGCACGTAGCAATCGCCGATGCGGGCGCCACGCCCAACGCGGGCGCGCCCAGCCAGATCGAACTCCATGTTAAGCTGCTGCCGCGCCTCGTCGCACTCATCGACGTTGACCTGGGCCTGCATCACCTGGGTACCGCCGCCGCCGGCAACGGGGTCAACCCCAGCTGGGGCGAAGGGCCTCGCAGCCGACCGCAACGCCGTGCGCAGGGCCACAACTCGGCCGAGCTGCGGCAGCGCCTCAGCCTCGCAAACCTCCACGTGGCACTCGAACTTGCGCTCTCGCCTCGCCTCCAGCCTGGCGGACCGCTGGAGCCGCCGCAGGGTGAGGCCACACGCCGAAGCAACCCTGACCCCAGGGGCGTCGGCGTGGAGAGCCACATTCCTCCGCACAGCAACCTCCTGCTCGGGGGCCACTCCCCGCAGCAAGGCCGTGAGCGCAGGCACGATCGCCTCCAGGCGGTCGGCAAGCTCGGCGTCGCCCACGTAGGACGCGAAGCACCGCCGAACGGCCTCCAGCTCGATGCGCAGGGCCGCTGCCTCCGCGAGTGCCGCCTTCACTCCGTTGTCCGCTGCCTCGAGCGCCCGCCTCCGAGCCGCAGAACGCTCCGCGCGCGTCCGCCGCGGCTCGCCGAGGCAAGCGCGTGCAGCACCTGGAACACTGTCCAGCGTCCCCGCCCGCGCCATCATGCCCAAGCGCCCGCCGCCGAGCGCCGAGCCAGGCTTGAGCCAAAATGGCTACGGACCGTGCTCCTTTGTGGTCTGCCGTGCTCCTGTGTGGTCTGCCGTGCTCCTGTGTGGCCTGCCGTGCTCTTGTGTGGTCTGCCGTGCTCCTGTTGGTCTGCCGTGCTCTTCTGTGGTCTGACGTGCTCCTATGGGGTCTGCCGTTGTTCGGCCGTCTTGAGGGCACTCTTAGGGCATAGTCTGCCGTGCTCCTCGTCTTGGTCTGCCGTGCTCCTCGTCTTGGTCATCCTTTCCGTCGTCTTGAGGGCGCTCTTGGTGCCTGGTCTGCCGTGCTCCTCGTCTTGGTCTGCCGTGCTCCTCTCGGTTCCTAAGCCTGGTCTGCCGTGCTCCTCGTCTTGGTCTGCCGTGCTCCTCTCGGTTCCTACGCGCGGTCTGCCGTGCTCCTGTGGGGAGCACGGCAGACCACAGGAGCACGGCAGACCACACAGGAGCACGGCAGACCACACCTCGATTTTTTGAGGATGTCTCGAGCGAAATGGCCGTGGTCTGCCGTGCTCCACACAGGAGCACGGCAGACCACCTGCTCATTTTCTGAGGACGTCCCGAGCGAAAACGTCATTTTTAACATAAGAGGTTCTAAAACACCTCTGTCGGCATCTCATTTTTTCGAGGATGTCTCGAGCGAAACGCTCATTTTTCATGCATAACAGAAATTTTTGATATTTTTCAACATCCCGATTTTTTGAGGATGTCTCGAGCGAAACCGTCATTTTTAACATAAAACGTCTTAAACGATAGCCTCCAACACCTCGATTTTTCGAGGATGTCTCGAGCGAAATGGCCATTTTGGGGAATCCGCCAACGAACTGTCCCCGTGCGGCGCGGCAACCCATAGATATAAAGATATATATATATATATATATATATATATATATATTTACTCAAGGATTCAGCCAGAACGTCCCGCTTGCTTCTCGTACCTCGAAGACGCTTCCCGTCATCCGCCAACGAAAAATCCCGTGCAGCGCGGCAGCCCATATAGTTAAAGAAAAGATATATTTACTCAAGGATTCAGCCAGAACGTCCCGCTTGCTTCTCGTACCTCGAAGACGCTTCCCGTCATCCGCCAACGCACCAACATTTACAATCGGGAGCCAGTTGTCCCTCGCGAGCTTGTTCTTTATTCATACCTCACTCAGACATGCTAGAACACTCCCATCACCTTCTCGTTCCGAGAAGGCGCTTCCCGTCATCCGCCGACCCTGTCGGCGTGTGTGGGGTGTCTGTGCACCGCCTGATTCCGGGGCTTTGCCCCCTCCCTCCTTCTGCCTCACCCCCCCTTGTTAATCAAAGCTGTGCGCGGCCCGCTCAGCTTCGACCGGAACAGGTGCGCTCTCGACCCGCGGATCAAAAAGTGTGGGGTGTCTGTCTGGTCCCGTCGACGGGACGCCTTCTCTGTTTACCTTTCCCGGTCGGGAGTGAGAGAGCACTCTCCCGTCGTCGGGGGGAGGGGTCCGGGACTGAGGGGTATCGACCTACTTCGCAGTCACGTCAAAAAGGAAGCCCCTTCCCTTTGTTCCTTCCCCGGCGGGGGGGGGGCCCAGGGGAGGGGGGGGGGGGTCAGATTCGCATCCCCCGTTTGCGGCTTTTGCAGAGGGGCACTCTGTAGATGCTCTGGAGGAGGGGGGGGTCGCCACGACGGATCCGCAAGAGCGCCCCTAGACGGCCCAAGCCCTACAAGACAGAACGCCTAAGGGCGGCCAAAGGGGGCCCCCAGACGGCCAAAGGACGCCGCCCAGATACGTTTCCAGCTCGAGCGTCCCCGAAACCATGAAACGCTGTTTCCAAAGACCCCAGAATGCTACAATGCCTCCTCCTCATCCTCCTCCTCCTCCTTCTCCTCCCCCTGCTCCCCCTCCTCCTGCTCCTCCTCCTCCTCCTCCTCCTCCTGCTCCTCCTCATCCTTCCCCCCATATCCTCTTCCCTCATCCGCATCCTCCACCCTTCCTCTTCCCCCCCCTGTCCTCCTCCTCCTCCGCCTCCTACCTCCCACCCCGCTCGTTGTTATCTTAGTCGTCTTTAGGGTCGGCGGCACCGGCCGTAAGGCCTTCGCAATCGTGCAGGCGTCGGGATATCCAGTATTCGGGACCATCCGACGTAGCGGAAACTAAACAAAACACAATAGTATATCAACTACGTGCCTTCTTCCTTGTTACTTTTTGGCGCATCAGACTTTCCTCCCATAGAACTGCAACGGGTGTCCGAACGAGAGATTGATTGCAAACACGGCCTGCTCTCCGCTCGTATGTATACACACCATTGTTGCATTTGGTTTGATGCCACATGCGAAACGCGGATTTCCACAACAAACAACACAATACAATGATGGCATGTGTTTCGAAACACCGAGGTTGCACCACTGGAACGTTTCGTGGTACGACGACGAAAATCCCGTGAGCAGCAGCGGTGGGAGTGGGAGGAGTAGGAGGGCAATAAGGAGGCAACGGAGGCAGAGGGGAGAAAAGGATGCGGAGGAGAAAGGAGGAAAGAAGGATGATGAGGTGGTGAGGCGAGGAGTAGGCTGGAAGGTGGAGGGAGAAGAGGGAAGGAGCAAGAAGGGGTGAGCAAGGATGACCGACGAGCTGGTGGGCTGCCGTGGCACAGAGCGCCCCCGCCGCCTAAGGCGGCAAGGCCGCTGGCGCGAAAGCGCTACTTTTCAGCAGCCGCGCAGACCTTGACCCAACGATCCCAAGGCCGGGCTAACGGCAATGTTGCTTAACGGTGATGTTGGGAACCAAATTGTAGGAAATCACGAACACATGCTCCTACATGTCCCATCTGCGAATGGATCGAGCGAACACGGCACAGCGAATTGCAGGAAAGCGCTAGCCACGCGTTCTCACAGTAACGAAACCTACATCGTCGTTACCTACATCGCCGTTAGCCCGTCTACGGCGATCGGCGGTCAATGGTTTCTCCTTCTACAGTCGAACCTGGCACAGAAGACCATCCCTCAAGAACCTAGGCCCTCCGCCTGCCAACAAGCGCACAGGACATCCAGGGGTACCCTCCCAAGGGTGCACACGAACGTCCAGCAAAAACACGAAGAATACCTCCCCGAAGCGGGCTCGACCTTCTACCTCGGTCCGCCTGCACCCCCTCCTCCTTCCAAGGATCCTCCACGCTCCTCCTTCTCCTCCTCGCGTGCCCCTCCCTCCTCCGCGGTTTCCGACCCCCCCCCCCGGGGCACATGAACCGGAGGTTGCTGAAGGTAGCCCTGGCCCAAGGTGTCCCCAGCTATTCTGAAGGGGCCCCAGGACACACAAATAAATACACACACAAATAAAAATAGTCCCCATACTTTCCTATATTTTCTGGGTTCTCGTCCTCCCCCCCACTTCCACATTTTCCCATATCTTCTGGGGAAGGGACGATTAATGGTGTCTGTGTTTTTTTTATCCCCTCCTGAGCTATTCCCTCCTCTGGAGCCCCTCGGGCGCCCTGGGCCTCGTGAGGTGTGCTCTGGGGGCCGCGGGGGCCTCCCTGGAACTCCCCGGGGGCGCCGTGGGCCAAGGGGCGCTTCTGGCAGCACTCTCCCCAGGAGGAGGAGGAGGAGGAGGAGGAGGAGGAGGAGGAGGAGGAGGAGGAGGAGGAGGAGGAGGAGGAGGAGGGGGAGGAGGAGGACTGGAGGAAGGGGAGAGGAGGAGGAGGAGGAGGAGGAGGAGGAGGAGGAGGAGGAGGAGGAGGAGGAGGAGGAAGAGGAGGAGGAGAGGGGGGAGGAGGAAGGGGAGAGAGGTGTTTTCCGGAAGGTCGCGGCCGCAACTGCATTGAAGGGGCCCCAGGGCACACACATAAATACACACAAATGAGAACATTTCCGATATTTTTTCTCATATGTTCTGGATTTTTCTGTCTCCCCCCCCCCCCCACTTCCCATATTTTCCCATATTTTCTGTGGAATGGACGATTAATTGTGTCTGTGTTTTTTCCTCTCCTGATGCATGGGGGCTTCCTGGGACAACGATGCGTGCCGATCGGGGGCATGGACATAGCGAGCACCGCGTACAGTCAAAACGTGTAGGAAGCACGGGGGCAAGGACGCAAGGCCCCTGGAGGCCGAAGTTGGGATCTTGGGGGGCGGCGGGAGGCCAGTGAACACGGCAAAGGGCGGGCCGCAGAGGCAAGGACACAGTGGTACCCTGTACCCTGGACGAGGACGCGCGTCCTCACCAGGCGCGTTGACTGGCAAGATAATGGCCGCTTCCGTCTGACGGGTGCCCGTCCCCTTCGCATGCCTCCGTGCCTGCCTTCACTCGTTCCTCGCGCCGCGGAGGAGGAGGAGGAGGAGGAGGAGGAGGAGGAGGAGGAGGAGGAGGAGGAGGAGGAGGAGAGAGGAGGAGGAGGAGGAGGAGGAGGAGGAGGAGGAGGAGGAGGAGGAGAGGAGGAGGAGGAGGAGGAGGGGAGGAGGAGGAGGAGGAGGAGGAGGAGGAGGAGGAGGAGGAGAGGAGGAGGAGGAGGAGGAGAGGAGGAGGAGGAGGAGGAGGAGGAGGAGGAGGAGGAGGAGGAGGAGGAGGAGGAGGAGGAGGAGGAGGAGGGAGGAGGAGGTCTCTCCGCTGCCCTGGCGGAGGCTCGCGGCGCCGGCGCTGCCCATCCTGGCGTCGTCGCTCCCCGGGGGCACGCGGCACGGGGCGCCGCGCCCCCTCGGCCCCCGCGAGCTCCCAGTGGCGTCCCTCTGCTGGTCCCCGTGGGGTTCCCGCGGCGGGGAAGAGCACACTGAAGGGGCCCTGGGACACACAAAGAAATGCACACAAATAAGATAATTCCCCATATTTTCCCATATTTTTTGGATTTTCGTCTTCCCCCCCACTTCCCATATTTTCACATATTTTCTGGGAATCGCCGATGAATTGTGTCTGTGTGTTTTTTCCCCTCCTGACACACAGCGTGCGCCGCCGTTGGACCTGACAGGTCAACTCTCACGGTGGAGGCCTTGCAGCGAAGGCCGGTCCATAAGGAAGCTTCCGCAGGAAACCCAACCCTGGGACCCCAGGACTTCCGTCGGTTTTGGGCGCGGGAGCGTCACGCTTTCCA